ACTTCATAGATGACTCCATAGTTTCCATTTGCTGGTATCTTGTCTTTTGGGTGTACTAATCTTTTTCTGATGTATGGCTTTGTTTGTGTGTGTGTTGATATTATTATTTTTCCTTGTTCTTTTTTATATATGGAAGGATTATTACTGGTTTTGGTTCTAGTCTTTCTGTATTCCTGGTTTTTCTCGTTAGCTATTTTATCTTTTCTATTGTTTGTAGTTTTCCTTTATGCATTGCCCATGTTGGGTAACTGCAGGTCTTTAATGTGCTTTTATGTGTCGGTCCTCCAGTTGGCGATATTGTTCTTCTGTTATTATATTTGCTCTGTGGTATAATGTTCTGATAATTGACATTTTATGCATGGTGGGATGTTCTGATGTCCATAGTAAGTACTGGTTTCCTGTGTGTGTTTATGTTTAGGGGTCCGTCTGTCTGCCTGGTTTTTCTCATGTCCATGAACGTTATGCTGTTGTCTTTTTCTTCTTCATATGTAAACTTGTTGTTGCTGATAGCAGTGGCTGTGGCCTTTCTTCCAGGTCTTCCATGAAAACTCCCAAGGGTGGCAGATAGAGGGTTTCCCATGGCGACTCTAATTGCATTCGGTTCAGTTCTAAGTGAAGAAAGTGGAGTTTGCTACCAGTTGTATTGATGGTGCAAGGTCGTCTGCAGTGAGATTTGTCCTTTCATGTGAAGTTTTGTCCTGTCTGATCCTGTTAGCTGTTATGTTGATGGTTTTTGGTTGGTTGGCCAGGTCACACACAACTTTGACCTTTTGGCCGCCCAAGCTGTCTTTATTCAACAAGGACAATTTTGGTTTAGAGTCTTGGTCTCCTTTAAATATTGATCAAACTGAAATCCTGGAATATTTCTCATTAACGTTAAATCAAACTCAGGCCATTCTTTGATCTTAACAAGTTATTGAAGAAATTACGATTCAAAGCACTTTCTTCATAGCCTGGCAAGCCAGACTAAATAAATGTATTATTTAATCTGGCCACGCTCCATTGACGGCTCTCGGTTGTGGGGCGGGTTCTACCGTTGTCTTTCAAATGATCTCCGCATGCCACTGGACAATGAATGTGACATACTCTTGTTTCACTCTGTTGCATCATCCCACCCACCAGGCATATAGAGTGCCCTGATTGGCCCACAAAGCGGATAAAGCTCTGTGATTTGTTCACTAAGCAGATAGAGCACTATGATTGGCCCACCATTATGGACCAATCACAGCTCTTTGTGTGTTTGAAACCCCTCTAGAGAGCTGTGATTGGCTAGCCAGTGTCCTGGTAGGAGCTGCTGAGGTTCCAATGGAGCATGCCTAGACCAAACTTTGCAAAGCAAGAATTTGGTCTAGTTCACTAGGCTACTTTCTTCACAAAGCTAATGAAAAATGTAGACATTTTTGGCTGCAACAATAATAGAAAATATCCAAGAAAATCCTGGAGAGGAACAATGTGGCTTGACAGTAACATAACCTGCCCCCTCCACACAGTGTACAGATGTCTCTCGGTGACAGAGACGAGAAATACCCACGGGATTCGTATTTATGGTGTCTACAGAAGTAAAATAGCTGCACACTCTCAGGAGACTGGCTTGTGCTACCACAGCTCGATAGGTCACAGGAAACATGAGGAGCTGATGTAGAAATCATCCCGTTAATTGTGCAGACAGACCAGTGAAGGACATGGATTATTGGACAAACTAAATACAGGAGAAGATTTCCCTGAAGTTGGAAAGAGGCCGGAGTCTGAGCGTCCCAGATGGAGTTTTTATTGTGATTCTACAGTTTAGGAGATCAACAAGAGCCGGTGGAGATCCTAGGCGCTGCCCACAACACCACCTCACTCTTCCAGAAAAAACAGGTGACATTCCAGCCGACAAGCTTTCTGAAAGGCCTCGGTCATTAAAGTCAAGCAGATGTTTCTGTCTGAGCTTCATCTAAATCACTTCTGATGATAAAACCCTGCAGGTCCCGCTGATAAGTCCAACTAAGGAAATTATTCTATTACTTTTAGGAAATGAGTTCCATTTCATTCAGTCAGCTTTGGAGAAGCGAGCAAATCAGATCTAGGTAAAGGATGATTTTAATAAGCGAGGTCCCTCTGTCGAGCTTAGATTGGTTTTTAGTTTCAATCAGCTGACACGACTCAGAGAGGCGGTACATCGTCAGCGTGCTGAGGAGAGCATAAACGAACAGAGACCAAAGACGGAGGAGGAGAAACGATAAGCTGGAGGTGTTTCCACTGAAATGAAATAGAAGAAAACTAGAAATGTATGGGGTTTGGGGGTGGGGGTACATTCAAGTGGCAAAAATTCCTGTGCTGAAAGTGTGTGTGTGTGTGTGTGTGTGTGTGTGTGTGTGTGTGTGTGTGTGTGTGTGTGTGTGTGTGTGTGTGTGTGTGTAGGGCACAGATTAGAGGTCCCTCACATCAAATCACTGTAGAGGATGAGCTCATTCAGGATTTTTTACAGGAAAACTCCCAAACTCAGAGCTGTCAGAAACATCATTTTAATTGAATCCCAAAACGTTCAACACCAGCTGAGAGGACACCAGTTACTGAGTTGTGTGTCAGGCAATAAATCTTAATAATGTATAATATTGAGTTTGAATTATTATTATTAGAAAAATTGAGATAAAACTATGCTGTGAACTCAAATCCCCCGTAGAGCATCATCAAGTCCTTTTCTGCATTAGAAAGTCTTCCCCTTGGGACCAGATGATCAGAGAAAGCTGCTTGGTTGCCAGTGAGCAAGGCACTTGCCTATGATTTCTGCAGGAGATCTGCTCAGTGGTCAACAAGAGAAACAATAAAGTAACGAAGAAACTGCCAGTGTAAACGTGAACAATGTTGGCTCGGAAAGTGACGGGCACAACAGAAGAAAACAAAACAAAGACTTGTTTGTGATCATTTGTAGCTGAAACTAAAAACTGATTTTGAAATTTGATAACTTGCACATCTTCAATTCTCACACAGATCAGGTCTGATGTAGTTTTAATCACCACAAACGAGTAGCCTCTGACTGTTTGGAAAATATTCAAGATTTTAAGAGCATCAAATGTATAAATAAAAACAAAAATCACTAAATCATTGAAATACAACAAAAAAGCATGCAATTACAGGTATTTACTGTGTGATGATTGGCTGGCAAAATATCCTGCAACTGTTGTACTAAATGACACCCCCTTTAAATAAATAATTATATATATATATATATATACAGGTGCTGGCCAGTAAATTAGAATATCATCAAAAGGTTGAAAATATTTCAGTAATTCCATTCAAAACGTGAAACTTGTACATTATATTCATGCAATGCACACAGACCAATGTATTTCCAATGTTCATTACATTTAAATTTGATATTCATAAGTGACAACTAATGAAAACTCCAAATTTGGTATCTCAAAAAATTAGAATATTCTGAAAAGGCTGAATATAGAAGACACCTGCTGCCACTCTAATCAGCTGATTTACTCAAAACACCTGCAAAGGCCTTTAAAAGGTCCCTCAGTCTTGTTTTGAAGGCACCACAATCATGGGGAAGACTTCTGACTTAACAGCTGTCCAAAAGACAATCATTGACACCTTGCACAAGGAGGGCAAGACACAAAAGGTGATTGCTAAAGAAGCTGGCTGTTCGCAGAGCTCTGTGTCCAAGCACATTAACAGACAGGCGAAGGGACGGAAAAAATGTGGTAGAAAAAAGTGTACAAGCTCTAGGGATAACCGCACCCTGCAGAGAATTGTGACGACAAACCCATTCAAAAATGTGGGGGAGATCCACAAAGAGTGGACTGCAGCTGGAGTCAGCGCTTCAAGAACCACCACGAGGAGACTCATGAAAGACATGGGATTCAGGTGTCGCATTCCGTGTGTCAAGCCACTCTTGAACAAGAAACAGCGCAAGAAGCGTCTCGCCTGGGCCAAGGACAAAAAGGACTGGACTGATGCTGAGTGGTCCAAAGTTATGTTTTCTGATGAAAGCAAGTTCTGCATTTCCTTTGGAAATCAAGGACCCAGAGTCTGGAGGAAGAGCGGAGAAGCACAGAATCCACGTTGCATGAGGTCCAGTGTAAAGTTTCCACCGTCAGTGATGGTGTGGGGTGCCATGTCATCTGCCGGTGTTGGCCCACTCTGTTTCCTGAGGTCCAGGGTCAATGCAGCCGTCTACCAGGAAGTTTTAGAGCACTTCATGCTTCCTGCTGCTGACCAACTTTATGGGGATGCAGACTTCACCTTTCAACAGGACTTGGCACCTGCACACAGTGCCAAAACCACCAGCACCTGGTTCAAGGACCATGGTATCCCTGTCCTTGATTGGCCAGCAAACTCGCCTGACCTTAACCCCATAGAAAATCTATGGGGTATTGTGAAGCGGAGGATGCAATACGCTAGACCCAACAATGCAGAGGAGCTGAAGACGACTATCAGAGCAACCTGGGCTCTCATAACACCTGAGCAGTGCCACAGACTGATCGAGTCCATGCCACGCCGCATTACTGCAGTTATTGAGGCAAAAGGAGCCCCGACTAAGTATTGAGTGCTATACATGCACATTCTTTTCATGTTCATTCTTTTCAGTTGGCCAACATTAGAGAAACAAACATTTTTTCATTGGCCTTTAGAATATTCTAATTTTTTGAGATACCAAATTTGGAGTTTTCATTAGTTGTCACTTATGAATATCAAATTTAAATGTAATGAACATTGGAAATACATTGGTCTGTGTGCATTGCATGAATATAATGTACAAGTTTCACGTTTTGAATGGAATTACTGAAATATTTTCAACCTTTTGATGATATTCTAATTTACTGGCCAGCACCTGTATATATATATATATATATATATATATATATATATATATATATATATATATATATGTGTGTGTGTGTGTGTGTGTGTATATATATATATATGTGTGTATATATATATATATATATGTGTGTGTGTGTGTGTGTGTATATATATATATGTGTATATATATATATATATATATATATATATATATATATATATTAACTGATGAATAACCAACTTATCAAACCTGATTTATTACATGTTCTGGTTTCCCATCCAGCAAACCAACGTTGCCTGGGCAACAGCAATTTGACAGACAACAGTTGTTGACATCTTTGCCATGTGTTCATTTTAAAGTCCCTGATGTTTTCTTTTTTAAAAGGAAATATTGATTTTAACAAAATGAAGTATTTATGAAGGCTACTGTGCTGTGCAGCATTGTATTGATTAAATCTCTGTAGTGTTAAGTACTTGGCGACAAGTGAGAGAAACTAAAAGATGGACTGGGTTGGAATTTTAAAGCTCATGATGGGATCTACTTTAAGGGCTGTGAAGTGCGTTCCTGTGCAGCAGTCAGAAATAACTTTAACACCCATCTCTGATAGCTTCCCAGACAGGCAGCTCTTTGTTCAAAGAAAGAGCTTAGGCGGAACTACAACAAATATATTGTTGAAGCACTATTTTGCCAAACTTTTCCAGCAGTTTAGGACATTTTATTTGAAAAACCTTCATACTGCCATTAGCAATGAAGTCACATTTTCTGGATAAATGCAGGCAGTCCAGCCAAATTTAACCTATGGTAGGTCCAGAAGTGCTACTTTATGCTGTAGTTGGTGATACTTGGAGCTAACATGGAAGTGACAAAAGTTGCAGTTCCACCCCCATCCACTTGGAAAAGAGAAAACTTCCATTGAGTCCTATATTAAATAGGCCAAATTCACTGTGGGAATAAACATCTTTACAACCTAGCTCAAAAAAGCTTTTTACGTTTAAAAGGTTGAGTTTCCAGTCATGAAACGTTTTGGCAACTTATTCGTTTACATATAATTAAATGCTTGAAATTATGAATAGTTTAATTCTGATTGTCAGCTAGCATGAGCCGTCAGAGCTAACATTAGCGGCTTACTCTGGGGAAGGTCTCAGCCTTGGCCTCACATTGACCCCAAAATTCCATTATCTCCGCTCCGCTCCGCCCTCCGCTGCCGCTCACTTCCGAACTCAAATTATACTGGTACCCGCTCTACAACGGCTCCGCTCCGGTGCGGAGACCTGAGGTGCGCAAACAGGCATGTGCGGGATTTTCGAGATCTTGCAATACAGTCCGAGCAATAAACGTGGAAGTTAGATCCAAACACCCGTTGTGTGGGAGAAGAATCGAAATGAACTGTTTAATCTGCCATCATTTGTGTTGAGAGATCAGCAGTGTTTGGATCAACAAAGTGTGACTACTTTGATAGTGGAAACTGTATTTATGGCTTACTTTTGTGCATTTAAAGTTCAACCGCCATTGATAGTTGTTAAAAGTTGTTAAACCTGTGCATATGAAACAAAAAACGCCTTTTGTTTATCGATTTATTGTGAAATAACGGAAGTTGTGCTTGCTTCCTTTCCTGTTGGGCGGTTGTGGTTTCTGTCCATTGACTGCGGAGGTGCTCCGGCGTCCGGCAAAAATAGAATTGATCCTACTCTTGCCGGATGGCAGGCGGCGCAATGCGCCGCACGGCTGCAGTAGTGGAACAGCTCTGATTGACTACAACGGGACCGATTTTGCTGCGGAGTTCGTGCCGGAGCGGAGCGCAGCGGAACGGAGATAGCTGAATTTTGGGGTAAAGCTGCAATCGAAACTTTGAAAATCTATTTAGCTTCAAACATTTTTTCATGTCTCTTAACAACTTTCTAACATAGAATAGCTATAAATATATTGTGGAGCTAAACAAAAAGAGTAAGTTAATAAAGTGGTTGTCTTGCATTTCCCTAAAACCTCCACCAATAACATGGCTGGTATGCAACTACTGGACCTTCTAGTTGTCTGTCTTGCCGAGCTGCTGCACTTCCCTGCGTCCTCCATTTGTTACAAACTTGCACATTTAGCAACAGAACACCACTAGTGTGAACGGTTTACTGCTCAATAACATCAGAGAAGGAGGAACAGCCGTCTGCTACCACTTCAACTTCAGAACAAACTACTAGAGTTCCAAAAGAAAAAAACACCATTTGGAGTTGCAGACAACAAAAGACGTTTGGACCTAGAGCACAGCGACTGGTGTTTAGACCACTCTCGTTTCCTCTGGCAATGCGAGTTTCCGGTACTCTGTTAGCTTGATTTCATTCAGTTAGCTCATAGCTACATTGGACGGTAGATTTTTGGGTGTAATGGCTCCCCACATCCTCACAGCTCCTGTCTCAGCTCCACCTCTTCACCCACGTTTGTATTGTCTGGGAGTGACGAGACATGTGACCTGGCCAAGTTGGCGGTGGTGGGAACCGCCCATTGGGCTTCAATTCAGCTCTTCACAAACCTACGGGTGACACCACGGAAGGTTGATCGAGCTTTTTGTTCAGTAATTGTGAGGTGGGTGGCTTTGATCTTACCTCTGATAGTTTTTGTGTGCGGATGGAAGATGTGGCATCTGGTAAGGATGTTCTGAATTATGACGTGTGATGAGGCTCTATTCTTGGGCCACTTCTGTTTTCCATTTACCTGCTGCCTATGGGCATGCTATTCCATAGATACATAGTGAACTTTCACTCGTATGCAGACGATATTCGGATGTATACTCCACTGAGACATGGGGTGCCAACTTCCCTTCAGCCACTGTATACCAGAGGTTAAAGCTTGGCTGGCACTTTTCTGAGTCTGAATAACGAGACTGAGGTTTGGTCTTCCCCTCAGATGTTTGCTGTGTTAAAGTCCTGCTTGGATTATAGTAATTCCCTGTTAGCAGGGGCAAGCCAAACAATCATCTAGACTACAGTTAGTGCAGAATTAAGCTGCCAGATTGCTGACACATACAAAGAGCATATATGACTCTGGTTTGGGTGCTGCACTGGATTCTGGTTATGTATAGAGCTGTTTAAGATTCTTGATCGCCTTCATGTTTACCTGAGCTGTTACGCGTCTATGAACCTTCCTCGGCCTTACTTGAGGGGACCGGACATTTGTTGTTGATCCGAGATTCTGGAATGCTCTGTGTCTGCCAGTAAGATTGGTCCCTACAGTCAAGGCTTCAAAAGAAGGATTAAAACCCATTTTTATAAACGTACTTTTATCGCGTCTGCGCACTAAGCCAGGCTACTCAGCTGTTGCTTTCCGTTTTGCAGTTTTGTTTAGCTGTTTAATCGTGCTGCTGCAATGCAATAGAATGTTTACTTAGCGAAGTGCTTTGAGACGCCTCTTGTTGTTACTTGGCACTATGTAAATAAACTGAATTGAATGCTAGTTGGTCTTTTATAATAAACAATATCTGCTGTTTGCTGCATTTGAAATTGTTTATGAGCTGTACATTGTCCATCACTTTGGTATCATTTTAATCGTTACAAGTTCTACATAAATAAAGTTTGGTGATGATAAGTGGTAAATGGCTTGGGCGGTATCCAAATGTTAATACCGTCTAGCTTCCTCCACATTGCACCAAGGTGTACGGTATTACCACGACTAATTTAAAAATGATGACGTAAGTCTCAAGCGGAATTACCAAACTGTTGGTCTGGACTTTCACCATTCAGACATTGAATAACAAACACTATTACTAAAACAAAAATAACATAACACAGATAAAATTAACAACTTTTAAAAACCTCAGCTTATAAAAGGTTTTTCTCGCCTGAAAAAACAACGTGTACCTTTATCAGCTTCAACCTCCGACTGCTGAAAACCCGCTTCGATGAGCTTGTGACAGACAACCGGCTACTTTGGGGCTAGTCGTGACATCTGGGGAAGGGTCCATACAGAAGTCTGCTACTTCAGCTACTGCTCGCTCCTCTGCTCTTCCGTCGGGACGTGCATCTTTCATCTTTTCTCTGCACAAATGACCTCATTAGTGTTTACCGGCTCTCTTTTAAGTTTGCTTCTCCCGAGCTGCAGAAGGTGTGCTGTGTTCAGACAGGTCAGCTGGTGCGCGAGCTGCCATTTTTCTCTCGACGTGCTGTCACGTGAAGACATTACGATCAAACATTTTGTGGAACATCTCTAAAATTGGACAAAACATTTTAAACTATTCAAGTAAAACAGAAAATTCAACCACGCATCTGTTTCATACATTCAATTATTTTAATTAGTCTTTTTTATTATTTTTTATTTTTTTTATCCTTGTCTCCAACTTGCTCCGTCTCTCTTTTTCATGACGGTACTGGAACTATTTTTAACACCGGCTGTATACCGTAATGCTGCCCAAGCCCCATTGGTAAACACCTAAATAAATGTATTTCATACTATATGAGTGAATTTTTTTTGAGTTCAATAATGCTGCATCAAATTAGGACATTGGAGCTGTTTTTCGACAGCAGCAGTATACTTTAGTCTTGGCAGGTTCTGACTAGCTGAAGTTCTCCAGACAAAAGCCATCCAGGAAGCTAAGAGGTAATACAGTAATTATTTATAACTTTTACACAGAAACACTCTTCAAAATGGCCAGAAATCCCTTTAAGATCTAACAGAATCCCAGTGGGTTTTGTGATGAAAAGGTCTCCCTGAGCCTTCAAGCTTCACATCAAAAGACAGCCTGCTTGAGTGTGTTTTTACTTCTCACACCTTCGAGCCCAAAGCTTAAGAAAAACCCTCTTAATGCAGATTTCTAAAAGTGATATTGGAAAGCATACAGCATTCTGCCCTTTACATGAGCATCTTTTTTTGTGCTGAAAGTGTTATTAATGTAATTCAAAGACGACTCCAGCTGCTGCGTACGGCATCAGTACGGGGTGTCGGCTAAGTCTATGTCTAACCAACTCTGTTGTGTCCCTGAAGCTTTCTTATTGTCCCAACAAATGTGCATCTTTTCATCCCTGAATCATGCAGAGGGATAAAACAAACAAATATACCGATAACCCCTGTAAGATTTTCATACCTTAAGCAAAGATATAAAATTGGCGTACCCAAGAATGCATAGACACAATAATAATCTGAGGGTTTAACAGACAAAACTGAGCCCAAAGACACTCATGTTCATTGAAAATATAAATCTGAACAAGCAAAATGTATAATTGATATAAAAAAGACATTTTGGGGGGAATGCTGCTCCATCGTAGGTGAAAACGTTACGGAGGGCAAGGCAAGGGCAAAAGGCAAAGGGTAAGACAAAACAAGTCTGCACCAACTTCTCCATTCATAAATAAACCATGCACATTCCCTTAGCTGGTAAATCATTTTGATATTCAGTGCCTATAGTGCTACCAGTATGCAAAACCTGGATATCACATAATAAATTATCAATTAAAAATAGTTAAATGTACAGTTTAGTTCAAGAAAATGTGCCTTTAAATTCACTTTGCATGCAGTAGACTGCATATAATACAGGCAAAGAGCAGTTTTTTTGTTGTTTCTTTGGCAGGCCAGAATCCAGCTGGACATGCATTGAGAGGTATTTACAATCAAACAATCACCGTCCAGATCTCTGAGGAGGGTCAGATCCTTGTGTGATCTGGGATTACATCAGTGTGCAAATGTTAAAGACGCTGGCTTGTTTTGCTGTGTAGTTAAGTGAAGACCAGTGGTGTAACTGGATCCAACAGGCTGCCTGAATCTAAAAGACCCCATGCCATGACCACGTTCTGTGGTGGTCACTGTGATTGCATTTACACACCACTGGCTGGGCTTCCTTCACAGCTTGTTGTCCTTCTCTGTGTCGGGGGAAACAGGCCTGGAAACTGTGAAAATGTCTTGACGATGGATTTTGGTTTTTGGCGTGGTGGCAGCAGACGGCGCCCCCGTTGACGACCACCTCTTATCCGACAGCAGTTTAATAATTTCAGCCACCTGACTCTCCAAGGTACCCAGACGGCCTCCCAGAGTCTGGATTGCCCCCCGGAGCTCTAGTCGGGTCTCGAGCAATGCAGCTTGCAGCGCCTGCTCCGGCATGGAGCAGAAAGAGTGAGGGGACCCCTCACCTCCGGGGAGAGGGCTGTGGAGGAGAGGCGTTACAGCCACGGGGGTCCGCGCCTCACACACACGGTCAATCCGCAGTTCACTCTTCGTGATGCCACTGTCACATGAGTCTGTTTTGCGAAGAGGGTTGTTACTGGAAACTCCTTCCTCACCTACATCTCCAATCCTTCCTACATCTTGGCCTTTACCATCCTGAGAGAGCATCTCCACGGAAACAGCCTTAACATTATTGTTCAGCCCCTCCTTCCTGGCCTCCACTGGAACCATGTTATTTTTCAGGCGCATCCATCCACTGGCCTTGGCAGCTGGCTTCCCGAGCCCAGGACTGGTGCTGGCTTTTAGCCTGACAGGTGGCTCACCTACCCCTCCAGCAGAACTGGGATGCAGCTCCATGACATCACAGTTGTTCTGCTTTGCAGGAGGATCACTGGGATGGGTGTAAGCCAGCGAACTGTGCATGGGTGTGATCTGGGACACAGTCAGCACACTGCTGCTGGGTGGTGTCCCATTCTGCATGGATGCATGGGGTCGCTGAAGGCTGAGGGGCAGGGAGTGCTGCAAACTAGAGTGGCTGAGCTGCAGGGTTTGTGGATGGAGATGCTGGTTGTGCTGCTGCTCCATCTGCAGCTGGTTCTTCTCCAGGTCCAACTGTGAGGCAGCTGCAGCACCCTGGCTGCGGAGCTCCTTCTGCTGCTTGAACTTCTGGAAAAGCTTGCGGACTGGATGGTCCTGAGGAATGGTGATCTGCACCTCATTTTTTGCTCGCTGCCTCTCCTCTTCCTCTTTCTTCACCTCACTGATTTTACGGAAAATGATCTGAAAAACAAAACCAACACAACATTCATCAAAACATTTATCTGCACATTTAAAATGCCTCAATATGATGTGCTTGAAAAGACTTGGTTTACTTCACATCAATGCACTTTAGTGCAAGATGGCTCTCCGTACTCAGGCTCCAAACTACTGCAGAAGATGCTCAAATGATGTAGAAACAATTGTTATTAGAACTCTTTGGAAAATAAAAACGCTGTAGCAATAATTTTACATTCATTTATGCACATTTTGGAGAGGCTTTATGGAGACCAATTTTCAATCAAAATATGTCACTTGCACCATGTGTCCAGACCTCCTCGTTATGCCCCATGAGCCGGGTCGTAACATATGGGGGTCGTAACATGATCTGGACTCACTGGAGGAGGCCGGACCTGGTGCTTCCAGTGAGTACTCAGTTTTTGCAGCCTGTCCAGTGGCTGACCTCTTAGCAGCTTTGGTGTGTGTGGCTGGAGATGAGCACCATATTGTTCTTCTCTAATGAGCTTTGGGCTCTAGAGGCAGCGTAGCTGTGTAGGCATGTCCATTGTTTGTTTGTTTGGTTGGTTGGTTTGGTTTTGGTTGTGAAAATTGCTGAAGTGTTTGTGATGTGTTGTGTTGTGGATGCAATAACTGTATGTGGTGAAGAACCACTAGCTGTGATTTTGTGCAGGTGTGGCTCGCTGATTCAGTCATTTAGTTATAACAGCAGTTCTGTTTTTGCCCGTTTGGGTTTGGCACGGTAGTCTAGTTTCCGTGGCTTTATTTGTTAGGTTTAGTTTCCTGTTTGCTTAGAGCAACGGTTCCCAACCGTTTTTCATCAGGACTCCCTTTCCTGTTTCCAAGACAAGCCAGCACCCCCAACCCCAACTCATATGTGCATGCACATGATTAAAAGTTAACAATTACAAACTTTACACCAACATACAGAGTTTTGATTTTACTATTGGGAGCATTATTGGGATTTTATAAATGCCATCCATCCATCCATTTTCATCCACTTATCCGGAGTCGGGTCGCAGGGGCAGTAGCCTAAGGCGAGAGGCCCAGATTTCCCTCTCCCCAGCCACTTGGGCCAGCTCTTCTGGGGGAATCCCAAGGCGTTCCCTGGCCAGGTGAGAGACATAGTCCTTCCACCGTGTCCTGGGTCTTTCTTTAGGTCTCCTCCCAGTTGGAAGTGCCCGGAAAACCTCACCAGGGAAGCGTCCAGGAGGCATCCTAACCAGATGCCCGAGCCATCTCAACTGGCTCCTCTCGATGTGGAGGGGCAGTGGGTCTACTCCAAGCCCCTCCTGGATGACAGACCTTCTCACCCTATCTCTAAGGGAGAGCCCAGACACCCTGCGGAGAAAACTCATTTCGGCCGCTTGTATCTGTGATCTCGTTCTTTCGGTCACTACCCAAAGCTCATGACCATAGGTGAGGTTAGGAACGTAGATCAACCGGTAAATTGAGAGCTTTGCCTTCTGACTCAGCTCTCTCTTCACCACGACAGACCGGTACAACGCCCACATCGCTGCAGATGCAGCACCAATCCGCCTATCGATCTCACGCTCCAGTTTTCCCCTCACTCATGAACAAGACCCTGAGATACTTAAACTCCTCCACTTGGGGTAGGACCTCATCCCTGACCCGGAGAAGGCATTCTACCCTTTTCTGATTTAAGACCATGGTCTCAGATTTAGAGGAGCTGATTCTCATCCCAGCTGCTTCATACTCGGTGCAAACCGCTCCAGCGAAAGCTGAAGATCACGTTCTGATGAGGCCAACAGGACCACATTATCTGCAAAAAGCAGAGACCTGATCCTCAGGCCACCAAAACGGATGCCCTCCACACCTTGGCTGCGCCTAGAAATCCTGTCCATAAAGGTTCTGAACAGAATCACACATGTAAACAAAACACATGTAGACTGGTTGAGCAAATTCCCACGCACCCTCCAGGATCCCCCTAAGGGTATAGAGCTGGTCCAGTGTTCCACGGCCAGGACGAAAACCACATTGCTCCTCCTGAATCTGAGGTTCAACAATCCAACGGACCCTCCTCTCCAGAACCCCTGAATAAACCTTACCAGGAAGGCTCAGGAGTGTTATCCCCCTGTAGTTGGAACACACCCTGCAGTCCCCTTTTTAAATAAGGGAACCACCACCCCAGTCTGCCTGTCCAGTGGGACTGCCCCTGATGTAACACGCGATATTGCAGAGCCGTGTCGGCCAACACAGCCCCACAACATCCAGAGCCTTAAGGAACTCCGGGCGGATCTCATCCACCCCTGGAGCCTTGCCACAGAGGAGCTTTTTAACCACCTCAGTGACCTCAGCACCAGAGATTTGAGAGGCCAACCCAAAGTCCCCAGACTCTGCTTCCTCACTGGAAGACGTGTCGGTTGGATTGAGGAGGTCTTCGAAGTATTCTGCCCACCGATCCACAACGTCCTGAGTGGAGGTCAGCAGCACACCGTCCCCACTATAGATAGTGTTGGTAGCGCACTGCCCCCCCCCCCCCCCCCCCCCCAAGGCGCCGGATGGTGGACCAGAATCTCCTCGAACCCGTACGTAAAGCCGGGCGTACACTGTGCAACTTTTTCACTTTTTGGAGCCGATTTTCCACTCGTGCGAGAATCCACGACATCGGGGCGAGTTTTGCGCCGAGCGGTCGTGTAGTGTACAGGGGGTTACGAGAGGCGATTAACACCACGTGACCAGCTGCCGATCAGCAGTCGTGAGGTCGCACGGACTTCTGGCGTGTTTAATATTTCGCTCGTCCCTCGTGAGGGTATCGCACTGTTGAAGCGGCGCTGCGAGCAGCTGCGACCCAAAAAGTACCAGAACCGCTCACGGCGCATGCGCAATCCTGCATCAACGCCGCTCGCTCGCTATCTCCCTAATAACACACGCTGTTCGTTTTTGTTTCTACACGTTTTTTTTACTCACAAAGATTGTCGAGAAAGCGTGTTTGTCGTGTTCATGTCAAATTAAACTGATCACTAAACACAGATTTACTTTCTTTATTTCGTTTTCCTCATCCAACCCCATAAATCCCTGTGTGTCCTCCTGCAGCACTCCCGAAGGACAACAGGCAAAACAAGACAAAAAAGTCTGACGTGTTGAGTAAAAACTGCTATTTTTAGCATATTTTTAGGGCCGACGTGTTGCTATCAGACGTACAGTGTGAGCAGTCAGGTCGCATGCGAGAACTGGGTCGTGCAGTGTGAGCGCATGACTCGTGAGATCTGCCCTGCGAGGAACTTGTACAGTTTGAGCTGAAGCTGAACGCTGCGAGTGAAAAAGTCGCACAGTGTACGCCCGGCTTAAGTCTTGCTCCATGGTCTCACCGAACTCCTCCCATGCCCAGGTTTTTGCATTGGCAACCACCCGAGCCGCGTTCCGCTTGGACTGCCGGTACCCGTCAGCTGCCTCTGGATTCCAACAGGCCAAAACGACCTGATAGGACTCTTTCTTCAGCTTGACAGCATCCCTAACCGCCGGTTTATGAATGTATTTTTTGTTATATAATCTTGGTAACCTCACAACATCAACACAGACATAATTATGGGGACCCCTTGGGGAGTCACGGACCCCAGATTGGGAACCACTGGCTTAGAGGGTGGCCACCAGATCCTGCAGCCCTATGTGGGCTGGTCTAGGCGGTCTCGCTTCTTTTGTTCTTTTGTGTGGCCTTTCATTAGCCATGTAAAGGGTCATTTCAGCACATACTGGCTCATGAAAATGGTTTCAAAGAAAAAGTTGTTGTATTCCTTTCAACCCCAGCTGAAAATGCTCTGTGTGAAGTGATTCCGTTTAGTCCCTCTACCAAAATATTTATATTTAAATGTGTATTCATATTCTTGTCTGTGGCTTTCAGATATTCTATTACATTTAAATCCTATATTTTAGTAATATTAACATTTTGGTGCATTTTGTTCTTTTTTTCTCTGACTCAAAGAGAACACTTCACAAGGATGCCAGTGTGTCGGCTGTAGGTTTTATGCACAGATGCCAAATAAAGAAACAATGCCTGCTATAACCAAATCACCACTGGAAACGGGCGCCAGCGCCCCAGGACCCTTAACAGAATGAAGGGGGATAGATCAAGGACGGACGGACGGACGGATGGATGTATGGATAAGCAGCACATCATCTTTAAAGAGCAAGTCACCCCCTACCAGATTCTTACTCAACTCCCACGTCCTGTTTGAAAAATGCAACAAATGCTGTTGCCTAGCAGACCGAGAGGGCGGAGCCAGTAACAAATACACACCCTCACAACATTGTGACATCATAATGTACCATCTAATATCATAGTGTACCTCTTAGCCAATAGCGATGGCAGATTTAAATTCGAATGCAGTGCAGAGTTTTTGCCTGACGACGGTGCATCACGACGACAGTTTTAGGCAGAATATTTTAATTTGAACTAAGATGCACTAAAGTGCCGAATTATTGACTACATGTGTCTACAGCACGATCAGACACTCATTTATATAGTTTATCAGCAAACAAATGTTGATTTGGAGTGATTTGCTCTTTAAGGATACGCATCCTGTATGTGTGAATATATAGTCTGGCCATGACCCATAGAGAAAGCACAGTCATAGAGCAAACTCTACGGTGGTCTTTCAAGCTGTCTCCACGTGTAACTGGGCAACAACATGACGTACTGATCACTACGGATGCCAGTCACGGTCGAAAAAGATGCAAAGGCATCCTTTTCTAAACAAAGGACTTAAGTACCTCTATCTGCTCTTGATTCAGAGAAAAGTCTGAGTCTAACTAGTCAAATGTTGATGCCAAAACCGTTTCAAATGAGCTGCTGCCATCTTTGTTGCTCCAGAAAGTGCGACGGTGGCACAGGAGTTTGGAAGGTTGCAGATTCGAGCCCCGCTCAGTCAGGCGCGCAGACAGGGTGGGGAACGGGGGGATCTGTCCCCCCAGATTCAGATCGACCCCGATCCGTCCCCCCCAACTAAGGCCAGAAAGAAAACAAAATCGGAGGTTAAGCACTTGAA